GGCCTACTTGCCCTGTTTATCCTCAGGCCTACGTCCGCTGTTTACCCTGAGGCCTACTTGTCCTCAGGCTAGTCCTCCTGTCTGCCCTCAGGCCTACTCCCTCTCTTTACCCTCTTGCCCTGTTTACCCTCAGGCTTACTCCTGCTGTATACCCTCAGGCCTATGCATCCTGTTTATCCTCAGGCCTACTCCCACTGTTCACCCTCAGGCCTACTCGCCCTCTACCCTCAGGCCTACTCCCTCTCTTTACCCTCAGGCCTACTTTTCCTGTTCACCCTCAGGCTTACTCCTGCTGTGTACCCTCAGGCCTACCCACCCTGTTTACCCTCAGGCCTACTTGCCCTGTTCACCCTCAGGGCTACTCTTGCTGTATACCCTCAAGCCTACTGCCCCTGTCTACCCTCAGGCCTAATTCCCCCTTTTACCCACAGGCCTGCTTGCCCTGTTTACCCTCAGGGCTACTCCTGCTGTTTACCCTCAGGCTTACTCCTCCTGTCTATTGTCAGGCCTACTCCCTCTCTTTACTCTCAGGCTTACTTGCCCTACTTACTCTCAGACTTTGTCCCAGTGTTTACCCTCAGGCCTACTCCCACTCTTTACTCTTCAGGCCTATCTCCCCTGTCTACCCTCAGGCCTACTCCCACTCTTCACTCTTCAGGCCTATTCCCCCTGTTTACCTTCAAACCTACTCACCCTTTTTACCATCAGGCCTATCTCCCCTGTCTACCCTCAGGCCTACTCTCGCTATTTATCCTTAGGCTTACTCCTGCTGCTTACCCTCAGGCCTACTCTGGCTCTTTATCTTCAGGCGTACTTGCCCTGCTTACCCTCAGGCCTATTTCCCCTCTCTACTCTGATGCCTACTCACTCTGTTTACCCTCAGGCCTACTCCTCTTGTCTACCCTGAGACCTACTCCTACTGTTTACTCTCAGACCTACTTGCCCTTTTTACTCTCAGATGTACTCCTGCGGTTCACCCTCAGACCTACTCACCCTCTTTACACCCAGGCCTACTCGCTCTCTTTACTCTCGGGCCTACTTTGGCTGTCTACCCTCTGGTCTACTCCCCCTGTTTACCCTCAGGCCTACTCAGGCTGGGTACCCTCAGGCTTACTCTCCATGTTTACCCTAAGGCCTACTCCCACTGTTTTGTCTCAGGCCTGTCTACCCTCAGGCATACTTCTGCTGTTTACAATCAGGCTACCCCCGTCTACCCTCACTCCTACTCCATCTGTCTACCCTCAGGCCTACTCCCACTCTTTACCTTCAGACTTACCTGCCCCGTTTACCCTCAGGCCTACTCCCCCATCTACCCTCAGGTCTACTCCCCGTCTTTACCGTCTTTACCCTCGGGCCTAGTGCATCTGTCTAGTCTCAGGTCTACTCTTGCTGTTTACCCTCAGGCCTTCTCCCGCTGTTAACCCTTCAGCCTACTGCTGTTTATCCTCAGGTCGTCTTCCACTGTTTACCCTCAGCCCTACTCACCCTGTTTACCCTCAAGCCTACTGCCTGTTACATTTTAGATCACTGTTACATTGCCTCAATTATATTTTTAGTTATAGTGGAATCTTTCTGCTCTCAGACTTTTTACTCAGTTTTAGAGAACAGGAATTGGACAACAGCTAAGATAACAGAACAGAATAGGATAAATCCAGCATTGGGGCACAATTGAAAAGAGAAGAAATGCTGGAATTTTCTTCAGGGTTATCATTCAGGTCTTCTATGCTGGGAGATGATTTCTATGCTATAGAAAAGAGAAAATATGAGAGACAGATAGTACTTGAAGATTAGCTTATTGAGATTTATAGATACAAATCTATATTTTTTGATCCCAAAAAGTAGTGTATGAGGAGAATCAGAGTAGGAATGAAATATATTTCCTTTTCCTTCAAAGCCCGCTTGGACATGGTCCTGTGCCACATGCTGTAGGTGACCCTGCGTGTGCAGGGGGGTTGGACTAGATGATCTCTAGAGGTCCCTTCCAACCTTAATGATTCTATGATTCCTTCACATAGATGTAAGTTGATGTGTAAGTCTCTTTTGGATTTCTTAACCAACAAAGCATCTGTCTCTGAGCATGAATTTATTCAATGATGGATGTCTGCTGTTCCCTTGTGGGTGAAACTATTTCACTAACGTGTATTTAGGATGCCATATGTCCCAGTCCAGCTAGACATGTGACAAGGTGCATCAAGACCCTTAGAGTGCAGTCAAACTTTTGGTGCAAACAAACAACTGCCTGGGCCATCAGTGCTTCCTACTCAGTCCCAAAGCCAGTACCCTGAAAACTGTCACCCAAGAAAAAAAGCCAAAGCCAAAGCAACAAACTTGGGAGAGAGAGGAATAGGTTGTCTAATGCCTAAAAGAAGTTGTGTCACTAATTACAATAGGCTTTGGATGTGTAAAGAAGACAAAAGCATGAGGGACATTTTGCTCACCTCAGATTTGAAGATGCAAAAGGACTTTGAATTGTTGCTCCTAAAACAAACCTTAATGACTTTTCTCATCCAAATTTAACTGACATCTGTTAATCCCAGCTCTCACACTTTTTTTTTTTTTTTTTTCTTCCTCAGAGATTATTATCTTGTCCTTATAAAGTTGAAGGTGAAACTTAAGGAAAAGAGGAATGGAGTTTGCAGGGATCAGGCTGCCACTGAATTCTGGAACAAATTTACTCACTCATGATGATAATTTAACATAGTATTTTTAATGGAGCAACTAAAATCCTAAAGTTTCTTTATTTGTTACAGGATGTCTTTTTAATTACTCACTGGTACAGATAAGGATTTTCTTGTGATGTTTAGCTAAAGACTTAGAAAAAAAGACTTTTTTTTTTGAGAGTTGTCACAGATATACGCGCTATCCTGCCATTTTAAGTATCTATCTATATTGCAGCCATGTTGGAAATAATGTGATTTTACCTGTGGTTACATTTTAAAAGACATTTATGTTATCAGACAGCCATGTCTGATGTGCCACATACCTTCAGCAACATGCACTTCTGAGAGAAGTGTCGTTCTTTTCAGTAGAATAACATTGAAATTCAAGGCTAAAACTATTCTATAATCAGTATTTTTGTTATCCTTTCCAAAGAGCACATTAATACTAGAGAGGTGAGAGTTAGCAAGTCTCAAATGTATTTAGGACAGTCAAATATAAAGAGGCGAACATTTTCTATCATTTTTCAAAACCCTCTTTTCTTGGTCATGATGTTCAGGACAGAAAAGCCATCTGATGATGGCTCAGCAGCTGGCCAGCTGGGATTATTGTCACTAGTGAAGCTGACTGTTTCACTATGTATTGGGCACATAACCTTCTTGTCTTTGCAGAACACAAACTCTTGGAAGCAACCACTGCTTCATCTGCACTGAAGAAGGACTAACCTACAGACAGTTCTTGTAATAATACAAGAGGCATATCCATGACTTTTTTATAGTGAGCTCACCATTTTTATTACTGTTTTTCCATACCAGGACACTCCCATTTCTTTGTTTTGTTTTGTCTTACTCCTGCATGTTCAGAAACGGAAGAACGTGCAAGGAATACTTCCTTGGCATGTAGCTGGACAGACTCACACCTAATGTTTGTCTCAATTACACATTGGTTACATGTTACATCCAGCTAAGATGCGCACTGTAGACTTGTTGCTAGCTGTATTTTCCCTATATAAGATATTTTTTGTTGTCCTACTAGTTATGTTAAGTCTGCTTGCTTTTTGTCCTCTCAGTCTTAAGTCTGCAGAGAGCTAGCATGAGGTGCAACAGAGAAGCAGGAAGCAGGGTACGGGGTGGGTTGCAAAAAGTTGGCACTGCATGAAGTTTTGTGGTTTAACACATATATTCTTTTTAATATCATTAAAAAAGTTCAAAATTGTGACCAGAGGAAAAAAATATTCATAGTGCGTGATCTAAATTCTTAATAACTGTGCTGAGGATTTGTGTTGTGACCTTCCTGGATGATTTGGGGCACATACATAATTTCTTCTATTGATGTTTTTCTTCTGAAAAAATGAGAATAATATGACATAGCCACTTCACAATCTTGGGTACTACGATAATGTATTGACTGATACTAGAAGTGATCAAATCACAGTATTTGCCTTGAAGTCACAATCTTGCCTGTTTCTATCTCTACCTTGCCTGACTTATATAGCTAGTCAGGACATGCTGCCCTTAGCCTAAGCTTTTTAAGCACATCTCAGAGCTTCAGAGGTAATGTGTTCTTCCATGGCCTGTGATTCCAAAAGAAAGCATTTTTGTTGGACTAGAACAAACAGGGTGGGTTTCCTGATATATCATTTTTTGTTGGACTAGAACAAACAGGGTGGGTTTCCTGATATATCATCAAAGAATATATGATACAGGGTTACTTTTTTTTTAATTATTATTATTTTTTATCATACTAGGAGAAGTTTTTGTGGATTTTTTTTTAAATGAACAGATTTCTCTTTTAATTAGAGCAGTAAAAAACTGACAGAACTATGTAGTACTGACTGGAAAACCCTCTTGGACTGAGATGCTCTTCTTGATCTCTGATAAATGTCTTGTTGCCTATGGAAGTAAGTATTGCATGGCTAGTTTACGAGACAACTTCTGCAATACCAATAAATACCATAGCTTGTCTGAGTGCCTTTACTATCCATGTATCATCACATGTGTATGTTGTTGATCTACTTTCCTCACAGAGGAGGAAGGAAGATGGGAAAGGAACATATAGGGCATTATTACTTTGTCTAACACTGCTTTGCTGTGCTCACTCACCTTCAGTCATCCCAGTGACACCTCTTGTAAGAGCTAGTTCAGCAACACAAAGACATTTTGTTGTTCAGCATAACAGACATTTTAGAAATGAGGAAATGGTTGCAAGGTCTAAGTATTGAACAGACGCTGGCATGGAATAATGTGTTTGCATAACTGTTGATTTTCAATTTAGTGTGTCATAGAAAGTTTCCTGCTGTTTTTTCCAGAATGCTAATAGCATTTATTACAATCATATTTTAGCAACCTTGGATCATCAATGGTTTACTATCTACATAGCAGGAGGAATTTCTGCTGCTTTTTTACTGCTAGTTTTCCTACTGATCTTCTGCATCATCACTGCTTATCGCAAGAAGTGAGTAACAAATCAATTTGCTTTTTGTAGCGAGTAAACGTAAAGTGTGAGGGTATTAGCAGCACATCCTCTAATATTCTTTTTAGATACACTTAAAAAAGGTGGATGTGAAAATCTAAATTTTCTTGAAAAAATTTTAAAAGTGAAAAAACTTCCTAGCCTATTAAGCAATATTCATTTTCACATTTTTTTTCTTTTTTTTTCCTGTTGTTAAAAAAATCAGCTTACTCTAATTTCTTCGGCTAGCTAAATACTTACAGGGCTATTAGCTGAGACTTGGTGCCAAGGGTGATTTGTCAGGAAGAACACAGGCATAGATGTTCCAGCACTTTTTTGTCCTTCAGATTCTATGTTCCAAATTTGGTCCTGGACAGACCTGAGACAATCATTTAAACCATTACCTAAGTTTGCTATACTCCTTGCTGAATATGCAATAGTTGACTGATCTATGAGCTTTGCTTTCAAGGAAAAGAAATAGCAAGTAGAAAAAAACATTTCTTTTCCTTATCAAAATACAAAAAGCGGATGGACTTTGTTAGAAATATATTATTATTGATCTGCTGGAATAGGAAGGTCTTTTTATCTGGCTCAGGGGTTATGAAACAGTATTAATCTCACACGTTACAGTTTGCAAGCCAGAGGAAAAGCTACTTAGATTTTTATTGTACTGGTTTCAGTACTGGTATTGGTTTCAGTAGGAAAATAAACTATACCAACACTATCTCTTACTTGGACTATGCTATCATGCATCTTTGCTGTTCTTTTCATTACGTTGCTGACTGTGTGTCCCCAGGAGGAAGAGGATCACGCCGGCCTTAGCGAAAGCTTTGCACTCTTCTTGGAATGGGGTAAGATCAGCTGGCATTTACTTGTACTTGACATGATATATATTTCTTAAACAGTGTTCTCTTCTGTGTCTGATACAACCCTTGAATATTCTTGTTTAATCTTTAACTTTACTGACAAGAACTATCAAATATTTTGAAGTATGGTTATTCATGATTTTTCTGGTTAATAGTCTTTCATATTTTATGAGTATATTTAGAAGCCCAACTGCATTGGCTAGTATTGACAAAATAGCTCTTTTGGCTTGCCAGTTTTTTAAATAGTTGTGTATTGGTAATATCTTTTATTTTCCCAAACAGCTACATGCAAAAGGAAGCCACAAAAAAAATCTCCCATGCACTGATATAGATGACAGTCACTTTATTTTTTTCTTCCATCCAGTTTCACCATACTTTTTGTTGTGCAGATGTTTCAGTGCCTACTCTTTCTTTGTGTACTGTAAAAAATCAGCTTTTTGGAATGCAGTGTCTTTTCTTTTGTTGCTGTTGTTTTTTGTTAATAGTCCTTACTGAGGCCTGAAGTTTATAAATGGAAAGACAGAAACCGTCTTCGCTGCCTCTGCCTCCTCTCTTCATATGCTGAATCAGGTTTTCACGCCCAGGGAAATGGCCTCATTCGCACAGCAGATGTGATGATACTCTTGAGCTTTTCACTTATCCCCTCTCAGCTGGCATTTCGGTGTGACCCAGCGTAAATCTCCAGGGTTGATATGCCCTTACATCAGCCTCCTGCATTTTACTTTTTCTCTCATTCTGCCCGTTCAGTCACTGTTTGCACAGTGCTCTGTTGCACAGAGCAGTCTGTGGGGCAACCACAGGACAGGGACTAGCTGCTTGCTGCAGAAACCATCTTTCTTCCTGTGCCTTTCCTCCAGTTAACCAAGTTACCATCACATTAAGTTGTCCTAAAGATATTATTACTTCTTAGAGTGGTCAATAACTTTGGAATAATTAATGTTTTAAGATCAGCATAGTTGACTATTTTAATGTTCGAAGTTGTGGGCAGGAAGCTGGACACTTGTACCTTGATGTGGGATAGCTGTGAATATGTTTTTTTTAATGACTTGAAACTGGTACAATACACCCAGATAGAAAATATTTTGATTGATACTTCAAAATTTCCTAGCAATAAAATAGTGTATGAGAATTTGTCATGCTTCTCTTTTTCCAAAGTTGCAGCTATTTTGCAAACATTCTAGATCCACAGGGAAAACTCAGAGTTTGGAACATGCTAACTTTTTGCAAGGTGTCATCCTGTCTCTACTCTTTGAAGACTCAAAGCTTATTTCATTTCCTTCTGAAATACAAAAGGCATCTGTGTGTTGTACTATTTACATAGAAATCTCAGCCTCAGGCTTCCCTCACTTAAGGGAATCTAGGGTGTTATTACACTGAGGGCAACAGAAACCTACGGCCCTACAGAGATCGTTGTGCCCACACCTAGCATGGCTCATGATTGAAACAAGCCTTTCTTCTGCTGAACTTTGCCTGAACTCTGCTCTCCCAGTTAACTTTCTTCTGAGGTCCCTTAACTTTTTTTTTTTTTTTTTAAATGTTGTTCTAGCCTTATAACAGTTATGGAAGATCTAATTTTCACGGTATAGAGAACACTGAAAGAAGAAGAGAAGAGGCATCGCTCCACGAGACAGAGATTTACGTCAACTGCAGAAGTTCCTCACACAAACCTAAGACAAGACTATGATATTAACTTCCTTCTTGGTAGGAAGCAACCAAAGTGAAATCACTGTATTTGCATCTCACCGTGGATTCTGTTTGCACTGTCTTCACACGGAGAGTTAAAAGTGGCTGTTCCCAGTGGTGCCGCTGCCTATGTCTGCCACCTTCACATTGTACCAAGTATATCCTTGCTACTTATCATCTGATTCATATGCACAAGTATGCACAAGGCTATTTGTATGGCTACAGTTTTAAGCATTTCTTTTCTTTTTCTTTTTTTTTTCTTTTTTTTTTTTAACTCAGTAGGTACATTTTTAAGCAGCAATTTTAGAACTGCTCTGATATGCAGAATGACATAAGCTTGCATTAAGTTAATTTGGTTTGAGAAGTCTATGTGAAAGGGTGAGAAATAAAATGTGCTTGATGTTGTCTGTATCTGTGACTTGTGCATCTCAAATTCAGAAAATTTGAGAACTGTTATAAAATAATAAAAACAAATCCATAATTTTTCACACTGTAGGTGTTATTATGCAGTATCATTGAGCTGACAGAAGTGAAAACATCAGGGATCTCTGAATCCAGATTTGAAACCAGGACCAGCAGCTTGCTGTCTGACAGCTCTATGGTTATACAGGCTTCTTGAGGCTCAACAGGTTATTTCAGCACTTGCCATTTAGGGATGGAAGTTTAGCCTCTACTCAATACACACACACAGACACACAGATACACACACACTTTAATGCCCAGGAGAAAACAAAACACTCAGACTCTGTCACTGTCAAGTTATATTTAATAATAATTTATTATAAGATTTAGTTGCACAAAAAATAAATGAGAACATGGAAGATACATGGATAAATGGCGCAAAGTGGAAAAAAGCATGACTGAGAACATTAACAAAACAATATACATACATACATGTGTGTATTGTGTATGGGTATATATTCTGCTGAAACCTACGGAAGAAACCACACAAAAATAGAACAAACAAACAAACAAAAAATCCTCAAACAAACAGAACTAGAAAGCAGACCTGAGAATTAGGATCTACACATCTTCCGGCCTTTTACAAATCTGCTTTATTACTGAGGACGGAATCCCAGTAGATGAAGGCGTTACTGTGATGACTAATACGCATATAGGTCTGCATACCACAAACTCTATAATGCCTGGACCACCTCTGCTTGATTCCCCTTTCCTCTTAAAATACTAGTAAAAAGGTTTTTAAATATGAGTTTTACGACTTTTTTTTTAGAGAGGGATGGTCGAGGGAAGGCATCATCGTCTGCACCTCAGTCACCAGTTCCACTTGGTTGGCTAGGAAGGACGACCAACAGCCTGACAGTGAAAAGCACATTTTGCTCAGCCTTCATGGGCACAAGAGAACAGGAATCTGGGCTCTGGGGAGATTAATGTGGACCCAGGGCTTTTCTGAACTACTTGAGGAATAACAGAATTGGGAAGTTATTCTACACCCCAGCTAAAAAAAAAGAAATCTAAATGAAAGGTCCTTTAACTGGCATTAAAGATGTAAATGTAAAGTTGTAAATTGTTTACATCTGTCAAATGCCATGAGAAAACATCTCATTTTGGGTTTGTGTACTCCTGAACAAAGACACATACACAAGGGATATACCTTTTTCTTTTTTTTTCATTCGCTTGCTGAAGGATTTTTGAAGTATAAATGCTTGCATGTGGAGTTGATGATGTTACACAGAACTGTACTATTAATAAGTTGTTTTATTTCCTGAGTTATCAGATGTCATAGCAGATAATTCTAAATTGTGCACTGCATCACAAGTAAAACCCTGTAGCATTGGGTTGTTTTTTTGATGATCTCACTTATAAATAATGTAATGAATTTGAATACATTTAAGTAAGTTCTCTGTCAGAACTGCCGATGCACAAATCTCTATTTACTGAGAAGTTGGTTTCGTTTCATTGTTTTTAGAGACAGCATACAACACTAAAGGGAAGAGGTTGAGGTTAAGTGCCTGCAAAACCACATTAGTTTCATTTTTTCTGGTGATGCCCCTTTTTCTTGCCTCCCCTGGCACCTGTAGCTTTTCTGCACTTCTTTTTTTTTTTTTAAATAATTGCTTATTTTTGAGATTCAGGGAAGAAAAAAAAAATCTGTAGAGCACATCTTTGCAGTTATTTAATCTTTTTTAATTCAAATTCCATAGACATAGTACTTCTACCAGGATAGTTCACAGGGGAAATTATCACATCACACATAGCATAATAAGAACAATATATTATTTTTTCAATAAACAAACCCACAGCAACAGCTTCATTTTTGTATCGTCATAGTATCAGTGAACAGCAGCTGAACATGAGACTGAAACAAATAAAAACAAAATGGAAAACAAATCAAGCCTCAGTGTAATCAATATTCACACTAGCTTAAAAGCTAGTAAATCATGCACCAGAGAAACTGCCAGAAGTGTCATTTGAAATGTAACATATAAATGCTTTAAATGTTTGCAGTGTGCAGCATGGTGGGATGGGACTCAGTAAGAGCCTAAGTGCTTTGCCAGGTTTGGATTATGTAAATTGGCCTGTCAGTGTAAAACAGTTTAAAAATATACATGTTTATTTTCAATATTTTTGGTAGAGCTGCCTTTTTTCTTTTTCTTTCAGAGACTTCTAGGTACTCTAGAGTAAACTTAATCTACTGTAATTTAGAAATTCTATCCAGAACAATTACTGTGAACGATTACTGCGCTGCTTTCCCAAATAGTTAAAAGTAAAAAAAAAAGAAGTAAATAATATGACACAACCATAGTTAGCAACCAGTTCAGTTAGCACCCAAATTCTTGGATAATGTTGTCTTTTTGCTGTTTCAAAGCCTTAGAAACTTCACTGAAAGGAGGCAAATAAAATAAAAGACACTTTTATTAAACAAATAACTCTTGAATCATTGGATAACTACTTTTCTTTTAGCAGGAAAATGGACCTATAAGATTTTAAGAAAGGAAAAAGCAGATTTTTTTTTCTACATGAAATGGTGGGTGAAAAAGGTAAATTTTTAAGGCCCATGTTCAAAAGAAAATTCTGTGATTTATAGTACTGCCAAGTCTTTAAACAGCTTAAGCTCATATTTCCTTAGAAAAAGAAATCAGAGACCAGAGAATATATGAAATCAGTCTTTGCTGGGACTTCTGAGTGTAGGAGAGACAGTCATCAGAATTTGGATCAACAAAGAAAATATCTAACTGACAGTTTATGACAGGAAATTGGAACAATACATAACCTCAGCTCCAGTTATTCTCCTTAAATATGTCCCTATACAATACAGAATTTCTATGACCCTCTAATACCTTCAGGATAGTGCTTGCTTTGCTTGTCTTCATGTCCCCTTTGACTGTGAGTCTTTGGATAAAACAGAGCTGCTGTCAGATCAAGGGGCTGGACCCACCGCAGACCGCACGAACGTGGGTTCCTCCAGACTCCTGCTTTTGGCAGCACCTTCCTCAGGACCTGTTCTAATAGACACTAAAAGTTTCTCAAGCACACTCAGAAACCACTAGTTTTAACTGCTTGCAGTGATCATCTAACTCCTAGGCATGTCTCATTCCAGGTATAGGGGAGGATCAATGCCATAGGTCTGTCAGACTACTTAAAGGTTAGATGCTATCAACATTTGTTAATTTGGTCATAGGGGGATGCTGGCTTATTCTGGAAAGAGTTTTCTTAAAATAACTTTTTCTTAAAAAATCTTATTGGGCTATGGGAAGTTCCACTCAAATGAATGGCTGTTCTTTACACTAGCAGAAATGCTGTCCCAGTGAATACACTCCAGTGCAAGCATAAGACTTATTTGCTATAAAACGCCAATGCTCAAGAGGACTTAATCCTCTTAGCAGCTTTCTAAGACTGATCCTAAGGGTTAGTTCCAAGACCAGCCCTGTATGTCTGCAGAGTAGGTCCTATGATAACCTCACAGGCTTGGGCATCCAAGAGCGGAAATTCTTTGCCAAGTTCTGCGTACCTGTTAAGCACAGGGGAAGCTGGCAACTCTCCAGGTGTTCTGAAGCATTCACATCTCGCTGGGGAGCTGCCTTGGGCTGCAGCACAGGAGCTGCTGAGGAGGAGATGGGCCCCAGCTGCCGTGCCTCTCCGGGATGTGCTGTCAGGTGCACGTGGAGCCCAGGTGGTCGGCAGATTGAGCAAAAATATTGATCCTCATAGAGCCAGAAGTTGTTAAATGATCCAGAAAGATGTTTTGTGCTCAGCATGACCCGGTGCTATGTGCCTATGATATTTCCTGTATTTTCCTAATCTTTTAGAAGATAAAATCTTTTTTTTTCTTCATTTCTTAACTATCCTTTCTTTTTGCTTCATTATTATTCTAAAATCTTTTCCCTCTTTTTCTACAATGATATTTTCAAAGAGTGAAATGAAACTGAGAGCATTGATGAAAAGTGAGCATATGTTATACTTTGGTAGGAGGTCACAATTCTGTTTTTCCTATATTGTCTGTTTTCCTATATTGCCAGGTTTCCTTGTGACCATCGTAAATCAGTAGAACTCACAAAAAAGCAGTTCTACAACATAAAAAAATCCTGTCACAGTCTGTCATCTAAGGAAAATCAGAAAATTGTCATCAATAAGGGCAACTATTTTCCATCATTTATTTTGTGTTAGCAGCAGAAGCAGTGATGAGAATAAATGCTTAACTGCAATCTTTAGTTTTGTAATTGATATCAAATTGTCAAGACAGTTGATTAATTTTGTGCTATTTTACATGTCTGTTGCAATCTTGCTATCGTGCCATGAAAAAAAGGTGGAGTAAAATATGTAGCCTAAAAGCATGTCTGTTGCAATCTTGCTATCGTGCAATGAAAAAAAAGGTGGAGGAAAATATGTAGCCTACATTAAAATGAGTGTTAAGTTCAATCATGTCAAATATTGTTAAACAGAAACAACAACAACAACAAAAATATGTTAAAATGTATTCATGCGTACCCAGGACTGTAAGAACAGAATGAGGTCAATGTATTTTACCTCATGAGGGTTTCT